GTCTTATAAAATTACAATTTTTTTTCCGTCTGCAAATCTTTATTAATACGAAGTGTTAAGATCACAGTTTACAAAAGATTTCAAAAAATTTGGACAATGATGAGAAATATTGCATTGATGGGAGGATGTAATCGTAGTTCTCGCTAGAAGATCCACACATTTATTCACGTCTCTGAAATTGAAAGTAAACTTGATGTTCGTAAACACTTATAAAAAACAAGTAAAGTCACACAATGACAAATTTGAAATAACACGAAAAAGAAACTTAAAGTAGCACATTGCATCACCCATGGAGCCAAAAAGGCATTATTAAGCTGCAATGATGTTACCATAACTCTTGTAAGTCTTATAGTTCATAAACTCGGTGAATGCTGAAGGTGAAGAATGAACTTTATACTCTTTCCACCACCTCATGAAACTGCTTTTCTCCAAGAAAATCTCCGGCGAAACCGCACGTTCTCCGATCAACCCCCACACGTATTCCTCAAACCTCACGAGTTCTCCGGTCAATACCCCGTCTCTCATCCCCTCCACTGCTTTCACCTGATCGATTACAATCATAGCTTCCTCAACTTTAGCCCAAAAACAAGAATCAAACGTTAAAAGATGACTCAAATCTCTCTTTTCATCTCTAGTCGGTTTTTCTTGGTTTTCCCAATCCTTTTCAAACCATTTCTCGAGCATAGCATAATGGCTAGACCTACCATTAGCCGAGCTTTGATACTCTTTCCTACCATTGCGGTAATATTCAGCAATATCAAGAGGTTCGACCATCCTTCTGTAATTGTTCCCTGCGAATAGAAACCGTCTGCTGAGGATCTTTACGTCGCTCTGAGGCTTCTTCTCTACTTCTTTAACCAACCATTTCCAGTAAACGTTTAGCTCTGCTTTCAACGTCCCAATCTTTATATCGACCTCGGTTTGAGTCTTGAACCGATCATAGTAACCCATCTTGGCCTCCTTGCTTTTCTTCTTGTACCACTCTAAATACATGAGTGATATCTTCATGTCGTTTAGTTTCTTAAACGGATCTAAACGCATCTCCTTCTTCCGTGCACGTTCCTTCATTCGAACGATAACATCATCAGGGAAATTCAATATTGAATCTTCCATAGACAACACCCATGGGTCCAGACGATGTCGAACTTCGCTGTAGCCTACTAGATCCGAATGAACACCGTTTAGCAACTCCGTGACTGCCTCAGGGTCCTCGATGCAAACACATCCTGAGCCATCACAGATCAAGAACGTTCCAAAAGGCTTGAATCCCTCGGTGATGGGAGTCATTGCAGCATCAGCCACGTGAAGGAAACATGAATTCCTCACCGAGTTCTCAAGAATCTGTTGCAGAGAAGCGTCACCGATTAAAGGCGAGCCAAATGTGATGCATAAGGGACGTTTTACTTTCGGATCGATAGTTTCAAGTAGCGAAAGCGTAAAGAGAGATGCGACGGATCCTCCTAACGCAGATCCCGTGATGATCACCAGTTTCCTAGACTCCAGTAACTGCAAGACTCAGATGGCTTTCAACATTCTGTTTTTTTTTCCTTGGAGTTGTAAAATATCATAAAGTTGTTGACTAATAAAACAAGAATATTCTAAAGGATGTTTGAGTTACAGAGAGAACACGCAAACTAGAACAAACCCAAAACAGAGTATATTGAAGAGAGTATCAAAGGGACTACTTACCTTTGATTTGAGCTCGGAGAGATCTTTTTGGGCAGAGGAAAAAAGCTCGAAAGCACGAGTGTGAACAGAGAATTCGTCGATATTCTCGGAGTAAAGAAACGGAAACGGATTTTGATCTTGTGACTTAGGAAGAAGAGTAGAAGAAGCAGAGCCATTTCTGCTAATCGGTGGTGCCGCGAAAACCACAATGATTAATTTCTCTTTTTCGTCAATCTCGAACTTTAGAGCTGAATCTTGATTCTCATAGGTTAAGTTATGTATCTCTGAGATCTTACTCCATGAGCTGTGTAAGAGACCGGAGCTCAACACAAGCTTCCCAAGCTCAATACCCTTTCTATAAAAACCAGGAAAAATCCAGGATTTAGTCAAATGTACAAAGAACAAGATTCTTCAAGAAATTATCCAGCGCAAGAATTTGAGTAGAGCCT